GTCAGTCCTTCGACAGAATGACTCGATATAAAAGCAAAAACGTGACAACGGAGATTTCATACGAAGTAATAAGTGTACTATATACATACAAATGTGCAAACGACATATATATGTATGTCATAATATATGTAAGTACATATTTACGTACATAATTCTATTTACACATGCATTTGAAAAGAAAATTGAAGCATGAAATGCCGACGGCAAAACACAATTCTGTACTTTGTGACCTCAATGCCTATCAAGTACATGAATTATTTTAAGAAATATATCAAAATAAAATTTAAATTATTATTAATAATTCACAATAAAGTAAAATGAATTAACATAAAATAATTTAAAAATAATAAATCAGGAAGGGCTAAGTTGGATGTAACCGAACATTTATACTCTCGCAAGGTCAAATGGTATACTCGTTTGAATTTCTTTGTGGATTGACTGATATTTTCGGTGAAGTCAACTATAGGCACTGGGGTCCAATATTTAGTACTTAGGGTTTGAACAGTTTTGGTTGATTTAGACAATTTTGGCCATCAAGTACTTTAATTGATTATTCACGAAAGTTTACCCGATATAATCATTTTACCCGATTTGATAGTGGAATGTGAAGAATCAGATGGAATGAAAATGGTGTTACATGGGAAGAAGCGTGTGTAGTCGATTTCGCCCATTTTCGCACATGATATAGAAACATGAAAGAACGTTATGCACCGAATTTGTTGAAATCGGTTGAGGATCTCAAGATGTTTTCACCTAAAAGTGCTGTGCCACCCACTGTCAAATTTGAACGCGGTTCCTATAAAGTCATTTTATACCATCTCAGAGATAAAATTTAATGTCTCTGGCGTGTTTAGTGCTTGATTTATCGCGCTTTAGAGTTTTAACAGTACCGGGAGTGGGCGGAGTTGCCACCGATTTCAACTATTTCACACCGTCAATAGAAGTGCTAAAACATTTGCTTCCAGTGAATTTTGTTATTATAGCATTAGCGGTTTAGGAGATATGACATTAAACTATTAAAGGCAGGACACGCCCACTTTTTAAAAATTTAACTGCAGATGCCCCTCCTAATGTGATCCTGTAATTACAACAGTCTTGTATCTTATGCGAGCTTAGTTATGGCAAGTTATTTGTTTTGATTAATGGCGTTTTGGGCGTGGCGTGGTCCGATTACGCCCATTCGTCAATACCAACCGTCTCACCATGAAACATGTCTACCAAGTTTCATAAAGATATCTCATTTTACTCAAGTTAGAGCTTGCACGGAGGACGGACAGACGGACGGAGGACAGAGTCACCCGGATTTCAACTCGTCTCTTCATCCTGATTATTTATATATATATAACCCTATATCTAACTCGATTAATTTTAGGTGATACAAACAACCGTTAGGTGAACAAAACTATTATACTCTGTAGCAACAGGTTGCGAGAGTATAATAATAGTTCAATAAAGGGAATATATTTCAAATTTCAAATGACATATCAATATTCCCAGTTTTGCATATATACACATTATATTCTCTTCAATATTCGCCGTTTGGTTATGTTAAGAGAGCGTATGTTTACAGATTCACCGCTGTTATAAAAGCGAGAAATGTTATTTGTTTCTCGTGCATGTGTGGTGAACTCCTTGATAAATTCCTACAAATTGTTCGCTGTCGAACCTGCACCTTTTCGTTCATTTAAGTTCTCTGGTTAAAATTTGCTTGGTACCTTCTTAGAGTGGTGTAGTTGTTGAGTTCACTTATAAAGGGGAAAGCGGTCCTTTTCGACGTGGTGTAATTTAATTTTCGAATTGGCGCATTTTCGATGTTCGCTTTTAATAATAGCGCAGCTAACATTTGCCCCTTTTCTATTTATTAACATTCTCTGCATTACTATTAACATTAACATTTCCTTTCGCTTTTTTGTTTCATTCGATACTGGAATTACAGCTCAACGAGCGGAAAGAACTTCACTTCAAAAAATAATTTGCCACAGTACTTCTCCATATTCTGCACCGATTTGGGTGGTGCAAGTTAAATAATATCACTGTGGATGACAAGTACCCGATTCCAAATATGGACGTCATTCTGGACAAGTTAGGTAAATGTTTATATATCACGACAATTGATTTGGCGCAAGGATTCCACCAAATCGAAATGGATCCTATAGATAAACAAAAACCCGCTTTTTCAACTCAAAATGGCTACTACTTTCCAAAGGCCTATTAATACAGTTTTGGAAGGTCTAATTGGGAAAGATTGCATGGCTTTTATTTAGTTTTCAGTACATCTATGCAGGAGCACACCGAATCTTTCGATTAAGTGTTTCAAAGATTAGCTGAAGCGAATCTAAAAGTACAGCCGGACAAAAGTGAATTTTTAAAACAAGAAACCGAGTTTCTTGGCGATGTTATTACCCTTACTGGCATAAAACAAAATCCAAATCAAGTTCTGGCAATTTTAAATTATCCAATTCCCAAAACGGAAAAGGAAATAAAACAATGTTTGGGTTTAGCGGGATTTTACCGTAAATTTATTCAAAAATTTTCAAAAATAACATAACCCTTGACAAATTGCACGAAGAAAGACAATGTGGTGAATAGTTCAGATAAAGAAGAGCCATAGAAACTATTAAGTTATTAGTAACAAAAGAGCCGATCCTGGCGTATCCAAATTATGAGAAGTTATTGTACCAGAGAACGTAAATGGTTGTTTTAAGTTCTCTGATTCAACAGTCATTATTCGACGCAATCGTGAATGGATAACAATCAAATTGGGCATTCTATTAACTTATATTGGTTTTTAGTGGTAAACTACATAATATTCAAGGAAACTTGTCCATTTAATTTCATTAAAATATCACACATTTTGACCAACCGGTGGTAAGGTCAGGTCAGGTGGAAAGCGGAAATAATTAATGTAATATTGAGGGCAGAGAAAGGGAGGGGCTGATTGCATTAATTTGGATATTGCTCAGGTATACTTGAGGGCATATGTTCCAGAAATGTTATAAATATATACATATGTATGTGACTCACACACTGAACGACTGAGGTTTGTTAGAAAAACGAAAACGGGAGTGGGGGTAATTCAAATATATGGTATAAGGCCAACCGGAAGATCCACCGTTATTAGTAATAGATAATCTTCGAATTTTATTTATATGACACACATTGACCGTAATTCTTGGTAAAAAGTCAGCCATATGCACTTGAGGCTTTAACAGTTATGATCCAATTTTTACAATATTTAAACTTGTCATGGCAACCCTTTAAAGCACTATTTTTTATATACTCGTTTGTGCTTGATATGTACACTGGAAAGTGTAAAAATCAAAAAAAATGTAAAGTTATGTTATATAGGAAGTAGGACTGGTTTAATTCGATCTTTTTCGCACTAAAAATCACACTATCACAATAAAAATTTGGTCAATATCGGTCTAGTAGGTTCTGATATATGTATTTCCACCTAAATGTGGGCAGTTCCGAGCTTATTGTCTTATTTTGACCCCAGCTCCTATAAAGCGCTCTCGTGCTATCTCGGGGTAAAATCTAATACTTCTGGGGTATTTATTGATTTATCGCGCTTTTAGTCGTTTTTAAAAGAACTGTTCAGTGGACAAGGTTATCATCCGATTTCATGAATTTTTGCAGTGCCGATAGAAGTGCTTAAGGGATTTGTCCTAACTGTATTTGATCATAGTATCTTACGTGGCTTAGGAAGTTTCTACACTACACCTCTTAGAGAGCGGGACCACGCCCATTTATCAAATTTTTTAGCCAATTGTGCCCTTTGCTCCTGCGATCACTTGTGACAAATTACAGTTTTATATCTTAGTTTAGTGCTGAGTTATGGCGAAATATTAATTTTAGATCAACATTATTAACTCAAAAGAGATATGTGATATAAACTCAATCAAAAGGACTATATTTAATAAATGAAAATCATTATATTTAGTATAGCTGGGTTGATTCGTGGGGTGATACCGTACATTTTTGGCATTAAACAATACTGTAGCCAATTATACTTTTACTTAATTTTGCTAAGATATTTTACATAATAACCAATATATCCAACCGGTAGTTTGCAATTTTATATAATTCTTATCAATTTTCTTATATGAGGTATATGGAAGCTAGGAAATATTTTTGCCCAATTTGATCCAGTTTTGGTATAACGACATATTATTACCAGCAAGAGGTACTTTCTGAATTTCAGTTAGAAGCCTCACAGATTAAATAATACTATATTCGTATAAGATATAAAATCAAGCGGATTTTGAAAATCTGTATATTCCTGGTTTCATTCATTTTGGGAAAGCGGATATCTAGTTTTTCTGAATTTCATAAAGATTCCTTGCATATTGGTCGATAAATGAGGTATAAAGTCAACAAGAAGTTCTAAAATATTTATATTAGGTATATGAAGGCTAAGGAAGGTATTGACCCGATTTTATCCAGTTTTGTCATCACAAACCAATTTTGCCAGGAATTTCAATACTAGACCTTACTGATTGACCGATACGTTCGATGAAAAAAACTAGCCCTATGCACTGGGGTCCACATATTTGGTGCCTTAAAAATTATTGCCCATCTACAGTACCAACCAACCTTGGGCGCTGAGGAACATGTGTAGCAAGTTTCATCATGATATCTCTATTTTTGCTCAAGTTACGGACGGACAGACCGACAGGCACTCGGAATTCAACTCGCCTCGTCATCCTGATCAATGATTAGAAATTCAATGTACAATTTTGCCTACACTGACAAACTGGTTTAACTCATACTTAGAACGTAAAATTATTTAATCCTTAGTTTTAGAATTATAAATACATTTAATGGTTAATTTAATTACATTGAGTGTAGGGTTTAAATAAAATATATGAATTGTATAATATGGTTATGGTTACTGCCACACTTACATATATACTTGCACATATTAACAGTCCATATTTTTTCACTATGTATGATGGATGTATACTTACTATTAGCAAAAAAAAATTAAACTTTATGAATATTGCATATATATTTCAAAATTTATTCTTTGATTAGAAAAGAAGAAAGAATTAAAAAGGTTTTTAGGAATTAATATCATGTGTTAAATGCGTTTCGTAAATCATTTAGTAGTGCAGTATTTTTATTGGAAGACATTATTTGATGATTCTTGTTGGCTTAATAAGTTTACTTGATGGTGGTGGCAATTTACAAAATCCGGTGGCATCGAAAACAGGAAGCAATTCACGAACTCGGCTACTCTTATTTCCATCGAAAATTCTAAAACAATAAGATACATATGCATTTTCCAAATTTCTCATGTTTTTTATATTAAGCAACTCATTTAACAAAAGATTGTCAGAATAAATAAACAAAATTTTGTAAAATGAAAACAGTTGAACATTTGAAACAAATATTTTGTTACATATTAATACGAGAGCCTTTTTTAAATGAGCTGATATATATACCGTCTTTTATAGTCAATTTTTGCATCCTTCATTTGAAGATTTGCTTCTGTTGGGAAAAAGGTCGCATCGTAAAAGTTTAGTCCATTTTGCAGTAATATATTATATTCATCCATTGATGCCAATGTTATTCGAATTACCGACGTAGTTGATTCTCGGCGGTCTGTTTTCTCAGAAATTTCATTTCTAGTTATAAGGGTTCCTGAGAGAATAAGTTGAATGCAATTAGTATACAAATACGAACAAAATACAAGAAAAAAATATACACTTTTTTTTTAGGAAACTTCATTAATTTTAATTCAAGTCTGAATACCAATGTCCATAAGCCCTATTCATATAAAAAAGCTTAAAGCGCATAGGAAAGGTTTCAGGCATTCAGTTGCAAATGTTCGGAAAATTTTTTGATTTATGGCTTTTAATTCGCGCCTTTTTTTCACCCAATAATTAATAAACAAATTGGTAATGGTTGACAAGATATATCACAATAAATTTTAATTTCACTTTGCGTATAAAGCACAGAATACAAAAAAAAAACAAAAATTAATACAATTATTGAGCTGATTTGCACATGTTAAAAAATAATAACAATATATATTTAAGTCGTTGAATTATTTTGAACTTAAATTATTCTATTAGTAATATATGTAACTAATATTTTATAGTAACTAAAATAAATAAAAAAAATTACATTTACAATGTATCTAGTAAAAACTACATCGATCGGAGTACCATATCTTGTAGTATATTTCTATCATATTTCTTTTCAATGTAAATTACTTCTCGTGAGTATTCAAAAAGTTGACCTGATTCTCTTTCTTAAAATCTGTATTAAAATCACCAGATAAAATAATAAGCATTCGCTAGTATATTTCTCGAGAACGGTTAACTTGTGTCGAAGACATAGCAAGTGGAGCTATATAAAAACACAAAAAATGCATGATATCTATTATATAAAAATAAGTCGGGTTTTCCTTCCTGACGCTATAACTCCAGAACGCACGAACCGATTTCCACGGTTTTGTATTCGTTGGAAAGGTCTCGGGCTCCGTGAGGTTTATAGCAAAGAAAATTCAGGAAAATATTTAACAGAAAGGCGGGAAAATCTTTTTCACATACAGCGCCATCTGTGATACATAGCATGTACTACAAACCAATATTTTAAGTAGATGGCGCCGGTGCGTGATACATTGTTTGACAGCTACTCATTGTTCTCTGCTCAATTAATTTCATGTGACAAACCGGTATTGTGTTCACTGTGAAATTGTGAAAAATAAGTTATTCGTTCATTACAATTGGAACTAACATTTCAATTGGAAACCATCAAATCAATCACGTGTATTGTGCAAATTTTATTCAATTTCAACAACAGGCATTGTCTTTAAGGTGGTAAGTTGAACTGTATAAATTATGTGGAGCGTGCATTTGAGGTTAAATTCACCACTCTATCCATAGTCCAAAATGCCTAGAGGACGACGTGCCAACATCGGCCGCCGCACAAGCATGCAAGCCAGCAACACGTGTGATTGAGACAACGCGTGAGCACACGAAGATCATTGGCATCATACATCGCTTGGCATTCCAATCTGATCCCACTGCGAACTACAGTGATGATGCAAACTTAGATATTGGACCAATGACGACTATATGCCGATATTGCAATGCGTTAAAGTTCAAAGAGAAGCGGCTGGATTGTGCTGCGCAAGTGGAAAAGTCAAACTGGATCCATTACTTACACCACCACAGCCACTGAAACCATTGTTCGATGGAAGTGATCCCGATTCCAGCCATTTTCTTCGACACATCCTTGAATACAATAACTGCTTTCGCATGACAAAAAAAAAACACCATCACACGATCATAAGTTACACCGTATTCTTCAACAAATGATGTTTGCAATTACAGATACAAGGACAAATATATCATTTGCATGGTTCAATGGTGCCAACACCAGATGAACCGCATAAATTTCTGCAAATATATTTCATTTCGTCGATGGTCGATCAGCTGAATGAGCGGTGCAATATACAGGGAACACAACAGTTAAAGAGACGAATTATTGAACAGTTACAAGCATTTTTTCACGCTAATAATGCTGTGGTAATATGTTCAAAACAGCATTGGAACGAATGCCATCGGATACGCACAAATTTGTCAAAATGCTGATTGTACCCCAACAGGTAAACATGTGCGAAGATTCAATGCACCCACCGTTAATGATGTTGCTGCAATTATTGTTGACAGGCAGACGTTGCCAGTAATTCCCGTGCAACGGCTGCAGATGAATTGAATGCTTGCCTGAAGGCATCACCTTTATGGACCACTAATATGAGAGTTCAACTTCAAAATGATCGAATTGCTGCACAATTTTCCAAACAATTGTTAGCTGTTGGAAATGGAAAAGTCAGAGTTGATGCGACATCTGGATTAATTACTCTTACCAACGACTCTTTGCCGATTTGTAGACTCTCAATTAGCCATTTTGAAAATGTTTTCCAAACCATTAGGTGCGAATTATCAGAATTATGCTTGTTAAGTCAACGAGCAATTCTTGCCGCAAAGAATAATGATACACGGCACTGAGTTCACCATTCAATCAAAATTGCTGGCGATTTGGTGACATACAATTCCGTTGATTCCATAACAATCCCGATGATGTAGTAAATTATTCCAACGGAGTTTTTGAACTCTCTGGAGTTACCAGGATTTCCACCACATAACTTGCAACTCAAAGTTGTGAAAGTTATTATGATATTGGTAATTTGAATCCGCCGCGACTTTGCAACGGTACTCGATTTTCGGTAAAAGACTTATGCCGAATTTGATTGAAGCAACCATTATTAACGGAAAGTACGCAGGTGAAAATGTATATATTTCGACTATCTTCCGTTTGACTTCAAACGATTGCAATTTCCAGTTCGCCTTGCGTTCGCAATGACAATAACAAAGTCGCATGGCCAATCGCTTAGTGTTTGCGGGATAAATTAGAAAATCATTGTTTTTCACATGGGCAGTTATACGTTGCGTGTTCCGAGGTTGGGAAACCATCCGCTTTGTTTGGTTAACGTCAGACCAAAACAAAATGTGGTTTTCCAAAGAGCACTTCAATGAAACGGATAATTTGCGGACACGTATAACGCTTCGATTCAGTATTTACTTTGGATCCACTTTCATTTACTTAGAGAAGTTCAACTAAATAACACTTCATTTTTCATTTCAAATGAAATAAAATTTTTCCTTTCCAAATATAAAACAAAAAAAAAATGTTCTTCATCTTTTAATCACCAAACGAAATATTACATAAAACAAAGCCATCTGGTGGCGAAACGGGGTTCGCCAGGTTTGCTAGTCATATTATATATTTTCATACTCTCGCAACTTGTTGCTACAGAGTATAATAGTTTTGTTCACCTAACGGTTGTTTGTATCACCTAACATAAATTGAGTTAGATATAGGGTTATATATATAAATGAACATGATAAAGAGACAAGTTGAAATCCGGGTGAATGTCAGTCCGTCCGTCCGTCTGTGCAAGATGTAACTTGACTAAAAATTTAGATATCTTTATGAAACTTGGTACACATGTTTCTTGGTACCGTAAGACGGTTAGTACTGCAGATGGGCGTCATAACTAAGCTCCAAAATAAGATACAAGATTCTTATTTGGTATACAGGATCCCATTAGGGACGGGAATCTGCGGTTTAAATGTTTTTTAAAAGTGGGCGTGGTCCCTACCCCTATTAAGTTGAATGTGCATATCTCCTATACCACTGAAGCTATAATAACCAAATTCACTGAAAAAAATTGTTTTTAGCATCTCTATCGACGGTGTGAAAATGGGTGAAATCGGGTGACAATTAATTGTTAAAAGTTACTAAAAGCGCGATAAATCAAACACTAAACAAGCCAGAGACATTAAATTTTATCTTTGGGATTGTATAAGAAGATTTTATAGGAACCACGTTCAAAAAATTAGATAGTGGGCGTTGCATCGCCCACTTTTAGGTGAAACCCCATATCTTGGGATCTACTTTACTGATTTCAACCAAATTGGGTACGTAATATTCTTCTCATATTTCTAGGTTATGGTACGAAAATGGGCGAAATCGGATTACAACCACGCCTATTCCCATATAACATCATTTTTAATTAATAAAATAATTTTTTCACTTTCCAGTATGCAAATCAAGCAACAATGATGTGTCGGCGTAAAACTTTGCGTGAATAATATTGTGACCAAAAATTATCTAAATTGAATCAAAACTGTTCAAGCCCCTAGTACTGAATATGTGGACCCCATTGTCTATAGTTAACTTTTTACCGAAAATATCGGTCAACATAAAACAAGGCGGCAAGATCCACAAAGAAATCTAAAACGAGTATACCATTTCATATTGCGAGAGTATAAAATGTTCGGTTACATCCGAACTTAGCCCTTCCTTACTTGTTTTTACATTTTTTAATTTGAATTGACGCAATTTTTTGTTATCTCCAAGTTGGGAATGAGCTTACATACTGACTATTTGGACTACCTTCACTCGCCACATACCGCGCACTTAACTTTGGATAAAATTACTTTAAAAAGAAGGAACCAAGAAATTGTTATAAATAAATGCTGGTTTCTTCCTTAATATTATAATAAATTTAATAAATTAACATCATAAAATTCGGAATGCCGCAAAGTACGATTAAAAACAATTAAATAAATAATTAAAAGGAAAATGGTGATGCTGCGACGGACGCTGTGTTGCCAATTCGGAATTTAAAACGAAAAGAAGGCCCTCTGGTTTTCAGTCAGTCCGTTTTGATAGTTGGGTGGTGTCGACTTGTGATGCTGCTGAGGCCGCGTCGATGGCTCATTTTGCCTCGGAGGAGGGGCAGCTGGCCTTCGGTACTGACCCGGACGGCTGGTCTGCTGCGATCTGCTCGCGGGAAACAGCTATTTCAACGGTGTTAGACCATAGTGAGAAAGGTGTTAGATGAGTGGGGTTCATTGGGAATGCAAAGAGGTGGTTACCCGTAACCCGGACACCTATTGCATGATGGACATATACTTTGTATGTCAGGGTCGATCCTGCAACAGTATCCAGAACAAAGTTGCGCAAGAGTCACTCTAGTTTCTCGTGGCCACTCGATCTTTTCGTCTTCGATGGGTGGTGGTTTGATTTCGAGTACACTGATAGGGATAATTTTAGGGTTATTG